GGCCGCCCCGTCGCGCTGACACTCCGCGGCGCGCTCCAGCGCCACGGAGCCAGCGCGGCAGGACGACCGCGGCCGCCCAGAAGCCCCCCTCCCCCGGGAGCCTCTCACCGAGAAGCTCCCGGAGGCAGGCGCAGCTGCGCCTCGTCGTTTTCTGGGGGCGCCGCGGTGGGCGGCGGTGGTGAGCGGCGCAAGCCAGGTCTCAACGCATCGCTGCGATTCCGCAATGACGCGGTGGAGGGCTCGGCCCAGCGCCAGCGACACGGTGTGGAGACAACATCGTCGTCGTTTTGAAATCCATATGTCTTGGGTCATGGGTGGATGGGACACGTCCAACAGGCTGCGAGTGGGCTAGTGGACCCTAAACCCGAAACCCTAAACTCTCGCCGGGCTGAGCTGAGTCAGCCCGGCGAGGGCCCCCGCTTCCACTCGATGCCCGCGCAACCCTCCGTGTCAGGAGCACGAGGGCGCGGCGGAAAAGGAGGGAAGCGGGTGCGACACAGAGGGGGGGGGATGGAGACGGTAAACGTTACCTTCAGGTCGGGCGTGTCCACCTACAGGCGGATTCTGGGCGAAAAATATAAAAAATAGTCTGGAAATACTCAACATACCCAAACACACTCCAAAAATCGTTACCAAACTACTTCCCTACCTAGGCTCTGCCGAGAAGGGTTCTTACTCTCTAGGCTTCAAGGGCCAGGCAGTGGAAAGCGGCCCGGGCGGTTCCCCCAGTATCCGCCCCGCGGTTCCCCCAGCTACGTCCCCTTAGCTTAGCGTTGCTTATATGATCTTAGCTTAGCTTATTTCATCATAGCGTAGTTTAGCTTCATCTTAGCTCAGGTTTATATTAGCTTAGCTTGCCTTCATCTTAGCTTCGCTGAGCTTTAGCATAGCAGAGCACAACATAGCATAGCATAGCATAGTATAGCTTAGCATTACATAGCATAGCATAGCATAGCATAGCATAGCATAGCATAGCATTGCGCAGCTTAGCATAGCATTGCATAGCATAGCTTAGTATAGAACAGCGCAGCATGACATAGCATAGCTGAGCATAGCATAGCATAGCATTGCATAGCGCAGCATAGCATAGCATTGTATAGCATAGCATAGCAGAACATAGCGCAGCATAGCACAGCATTGTATAGCATTGTATAGCAACTAATGCTGCTTTCCTAGGGGCTCCAATTTCTAGGTAGGGTCGCACTGGGGTATTTGACTATGTTTGAATATTCCTCCTGTAGAGGGAAACGCCCGACTTAACATTATCTGGGCGAGAGACCCAAAACCATGTGCGGGTAAGAGGGCCGCGAGGCAGGCGGCACAAAGGATGGGCAGGTCCCCTTTGGAAAACGACGTGTGATTGGCGGTGCGCACAAGGGGGCGGAGGGAGGGGGGAGGGCTTCTTAGAAAGAGGCTGCTTCTTAGAAGGCGCCGGCCTTACATATACAGACAAGGCCCGCGCCTTCTAAGAAGCAGGGGTGCTTCTAAGAAGCCCTCCCCCCTCCCCCCATCCCCCTCTGCGACAGTGTGAGGGGTGTGCCGAATCTTGTGCGGGGCCGCCATGCGGACCCTGCCGCGGAGGCCTTCGGTGGAACTCCATATGGAGCCATGGGACGTGTGAGGGGTGTGCCGAATCTTGTGCGGGGCCGCCATGCGGACCCTGCCGCTGATGCCTTCGGTGGAGCTTCCCCTGGGGCCACGAAACGTGTGACGGGTATGCCGAATCTTGTGCGGGGCCGCCATGCGGACCCTGCCGCTGGGGCCTTCGGTGGAGCTCCCTGTGGGGCCACGAAGCGTGTGACGGGTTGCTGAATCGGGTGCGGGGTCGCCGTGCGGACTCTTCCGCTGGGGCCTTCGGTGGAGCTCCTTGTGGGGCCATGAAACGTGTGAAGGGTGAGCCGGATTGGGTGCGGGGCCGCCATGCGGACCCTGCCGCTGGGGCCTTCGGTGCAGCTCTCTCTGGGGCCGCGAAACGTGTGAGGAATCGGATGCGGCGCCGCCATGAGGACCCTGCCGTTAGGGCCTTCGGTGGAGCTCCATATGGGGCCACGGGACGTGTGAGGGGTGTGCCGAATCGGGTGCGGGGCCGCCATGCGGACCCTGCCACTAGTGCCTTCGGTGGAGCTCCACGCAACGTATGAGGGGTGTGCCGAAATGGGGCGCCGGGATGGGAGGAGGAGGAGGAGGAGGAGGAGGAGGAGGAGAAGGAGGAAGACGAAGAGGAGGAGGGAGGAGGGGGAGGAGGAGGAGGAAAGGAAAGGAGGAGAGCGCGGGGCGCTGTCTCTTCAAAACGAGGACCCAACTTCACAGGATGGCTGGGAAAACTAGGAATGGAGGCAGAGAAAAAGACGGGAGAGAAGGGACGGGAGGGGGAGAGGAAGGGGGAGGAGCGTGGAGGGAGGAGGGGGAGCGTGGAGGGAGGGAGCGGAGGCAAGGAGGAAAAAGGAACGGTGGATGGGAGGTCGGCGGGAGACGCAGGGAGACGGAGGCACGGACGGCGAAGGAGGAGCGAGGAGCGCACGCAGAGAGCGGCCGCGGGGAAGAAGAGAAGGCCCGTCCTTGCCCGTACGGGACCGCGGCCGGCGCCATGCCTGCATGAGCAAAGCTCATCGCGACCAAATTCTGCTGAGGACCCACCTTGAGCTGTGCGAACGCCTGCGGGCCTCCCCCCTTTCGGCACGGCGGGAGCGAGAGAAGGGCGCGCCTCGAGACTGGTAACGTATATACTGCATGGGGGGCGTGGGCTTCGGTGTCTGGCACCGCGTGAACCATTCAAACTTAAACGATCTCCGCTCCTCCTCCTCCTCCTCCTCCTCCTCCTCCTCTTCCTCCTCCTCCTCCTCCTCATCCTCCTCCTCCTCCTCCTCCGCCTCCTCCTCCGCCTCCTCCGCATCCTCCTCCGCCTCCTCCTCCTCCTCCTGCTCCTCCGCCTCCTCCTCTTCCTCCTCTCCTCCTCCTCCTCCTCCCTCCTCCTCCCTCCTCCTCCCTCCTCGCCTCCTCCTCCTCCTCTCCTCCTCTCCTCCCTCCTCCTCCTCCTCCTCCTCCTCCTCCTCCTCCTCCTCCTCCTCCTCCTCCTCCTCCTCCTCCTCCTCCTCCTCCTCCTCCTCCTCCTCCTCCTCCTCCTCCTCTCCTCCTCCTCCTCCTCCTCCTCCTCCTCTCCTCCTCCTCCTCCCTCCTCCTCCTCCTCCTCCTCCTCCTCCTCCCTCCTCCTCCTCCTCCTCCTCCTCCTCCCTCACGGGCACACCGAGGCTGCCTCCCAACACACACACACACACACACACACACACACACACACACCTCGGGTGGCCTTCCCGCCGTGAAGCCCCGCTCCCGTGTGGGACACGGGGCCCAAAGCGGAATCCCCTGAGGACCGTGTGCCCGGCCTGGACCGACACGCGCCCGCGCTGCCACCGAGCGGGTTCGCCCGCAGGGTGCCTCCGCGGCGGGGCCGGCCGTGGCCTTCCCGCTGGGAGAGCGCCACACATACGCCTACACCGATCCTGGCCCAGACCGGCGTGAGTGTGCGTAGCTGGCGCCCTCCGGCGCTCGCCACTCTTCTTTCCCCCCACCATCCTGGGGAGGTTGGGTCCTCGTGCTGAAGAGGCAGCGACCCGCGTGTCCTCCTCTCCTCTCCTCCTTGCTCCTCCCCCTCCTTCCTCCTCCGCGTCCTTCCTCCCGCCTCATCCCTCCTCCCGCTCCTCCCTCCTCCCACCCTTGCCCTTGCCCTCCACATGTCCATGTCGGCACACCCCTCACACGTTTCGCAGCCCCAGAGAGAGCTGCACAAAAGGCCCCAGCGGCAGGGTCCGCATGGCGGCCCCGCACAAGATTCGGCGCACCCCTCACACGTCCCATGGCCCCATATGGAGTTCCACCGAAGGCCCCAGCGGCAGGGGTCCGCATGGCGGCCCCGCACAAGATTCGGCACACCCCTCACACGTCCCGTGAAACCATAGAGAGCTCCACCGAAGGCCCCAGCGGAAGAATCCGTACGGCGACCCCGCACCCAATTCAGCAACCCGTTACACGTTTCTTGGCCCCACAAGGAGCTCGACCGAAGGCCCCAGCGGCAGGGTCCGCATGGCGGCCCCGCACCCGAATCGGCACACCCCTCACACGATTCGAGCCCCCACGGGGACCTCCACCGAAGGCCCCAGCGGCAGGGTCCGCATGGCGGCCCAGCACCCGACTCGGCTCACCCCTCACACGTTTCGTGGCCCCACAGGGAGCTCCATCGAAGGCCCCAGCGGAAGAGTCCGCATGGCGGCCCCGCACCCGATTCAGCAACCCGTCACACGCTTCGAAGCCCCAGGGGAAGCTCCACCGAAGGCCCCAACGGCAGGGCCCGCATGGTGGCCCCGCACCCGATTCGGCACACCCGTTACACGCTTCGTGGCGCCACGGGGACCTCCACAGAAGGCCCCAGCGGCAGGGTCCGCATGGCGGCCCCGCACCCGAATCGTCACACCTCTCACACGTTTCGAGCCCTCACGGGGACCTTCACCGAAGGCCCCAGCGGCAGGGTCTTCATGGCGGCGCCGCATCCGATTCGGCGCGCTTCTCGCACGCTTCGTGGCGCCACGGGGTGGAGGGCCCCAGTGGCAGGGTCCGCATGGCGGCCCCGCACCCAGTTCGGCACACCCCTCAAACGCGTCGGTGCCCCCTAGGGAGCTCCACCAAAGACGGCAGTCACAGCTGCGGCACTCGCAACTGCACATGTTAAGGCCATTCGCCAGGATAACTTGTTTGGAGCCGACCGCCGCCGTCGCACGCACGCCCGAGCACCAGGGGTTGCTGGCACGCGGCGCGGGGCGCGCGCCGGCAGGGGACGCGGGGCGGAGTGCACCGCGGCATGGCGGAGCGGCCCTTCAGGGTCGAGCGGCCCTTCAGGGTCGAGCGGCCCTTCAGGGTCGAGCGTCTGCGCGCTTTGGCAGCCTCCTCCAGGCGTCATCAAGCGAGGCGGGGCAGGGCACCAAAGACGGGCGGGAGGAAACCGAAAATTAGTCTGACGGTCTTGATCGCCTGACGGCCCACGTGCTCGGACTGCTGGCCCAGAAGGGCCGTCGCCACAAGTGGCCGTTGCAAGGGCGGTGACCAACCAAAGAGGAATACTGTGAACCAGCTACCCTGCGGTGACCAGAAAAGGACGGATTCCGATTGCAGGGGAGCCCGAAGCGGACTCACGAGCACGTTGAACATCCAAGCAGTGGGACCAACGGTTCTGACGGTCGACCAAGCCACTTTGACAACCTCAAGTGGATGTGTCACGCCTGCGCCATGTGCTCGTCGTCGGCCACCGCGAACTCGAGCGCGCCCTCCCGTGCCATGGTGCGCAAATAGAAATTGGCCCGCGGGTTGGCGCACATGCTCAGGAGCAGCCAGGCGGTCTGGAGGTCACCAACTTAGCTCAGCCGGTGCAGGAGAGCGGGGGTCTGCCAGCAGGGAGCGCATGTGGTGGCGGACGAATTCTTCGTGCCCGATGGGCGTGCCGAGGACCACCAAACCCTGCTCACGTGGCAGTGCGGCGGCGTCTCCGACCCACACGCGGTCTTGCTCGGTGCCTAGCTCTCGGACCCCTGGTGGCTCCACTCCTGCTGCGTTCCAGACCTTCGTCTTGCCCATGTTGACTCCGATGCCGCAGTGCCTCTGGAGTGCGCTGCGGACCAACTCGAAAGCTTCTCGCGATCGAGCTGGGGCTGACACCACGTATATGTCGTCCAAGAATGCGAAGAGATGCCCCCCCGGAAGCAAGTGGGCTTGCACCTCTTGCAGGGCAGGGTGTTGGCCCAGGGCAAACAGCGCGGGCATCAGGGGATCGCCCTGCTCACCGCCTTCTGCCTGCTCCACCACGTGGGCGTCCCCGTGCTGGTCAGTCCAGAGGTATTGCGAGCGGGACCCGTAGAACATTCTGCAAAAGGGTAGCGCTGAGCTCGCGGCCGGGAGGCCTGCCAACACCTGGAGCATGGCGATGCGCGACATGAGGTCGAACGCGCCCATGCCGTCGATGGAGAGCACTGTCGCCTCTGGGTTGGCCTGCGTCAAGCTCTGGACGAGGTGCGCCACGCATTCCGTGCCCGCCCTGGTGGATAGGGCGATCTGAAATGGCGCTGCGACTGCCTCCACCTCCTCGTTGATCTGTTGGGCCACGCAGCGGGCCACCAGCCTCCTCAGCACGTCTCCCGTCACGATGCCCCTCACCCTCCCGTTTGGCTTGGTAAGCGCCGCGAGCTGCCCCAGGCGCAAAGCTTCCGCCACTGGTCCTGGTAGCCTTGCCTGCGCCATCCTCGTCGCCGCGTGGTGCAGTAAGCCGCAGGCTTGCTCGTCTTCCAGTAGCGTTTGCAGGTGCTCGCCGGCCAAGCCCGACGGGCCTGGGGCGGCGCCCCTGCGGCAGCCGCGGAGGTTGCGGAGGAGCTCGTCGGACTCGAGGAAGAGGGGCTCCAGGGCCAACGCTGCCAGGTCCGCTCTCAGCGGCCCCCGCGGTTCGGCGAGCCGTCGCGCTGGGCCCCGCAGCTCCGCAAGCGTGGCCTCGGTTCCTGGCGCGATCGCGCTGGCCGTGAGGGCCTGGCGCGCCGCCGAGACTTCGCCTTGCTGTGCCAAGGCGTGCGCCCTCGCGCAGCACTGGGAAAGCTCCTCGTCGCTCCTGCCGGCGGCCGCCCGCGGTCTCCTCCGCGACGCCTTCGGGCTGGGGAAGGCTAGCAGGGGCGCCCAGTCGCCCGCCTCGAATCGGGCAAACCGTTCCATCAGCTGTTCTTTGGGCACCGTTCGGGCGCCGGGGTCCTTGCTCAGCAGCATGCGTGGGATCAGGAAGAGGAGCTTCCAGCCTCGGAGCTGGCGTGCTTCGTTGGCCTCCCCTGCGTGGATCTCCCTAAGCGCTTTGCGCAGCGCGTTACGCAGGGGCCCTCGGAGGAATGCTGGCGCGCTCCGCAGTGTGGCCACCCGCTGCCTCAGAGCTGCCTGCAAGTCCGCCCCGTCCAGCGCCTCTCTCTCTGCCCTGCGTAGCGCTTCCCTCTGGGGAGGGCGTCGGCCTCCCGGCCCCTGCGTTGCCCCTCCGCCGTCGCCCTCCTCCTCTTCCTCCCCCCCTGCCCCTGCGGCCCTGGGGGCTCCCGCCGCTGCGGGGGCGGGCGCTTGTGGTGGCCCGTGCGGGTCTGGGCTCGGGCCTGGGTCTGCTCTGTCGGCCTAGCCGTCGTCGCTGCCCTCGCCCCCGCCGTCGTTGCCGGGGCCTTCTCCTCCCCCGCCGCCTCCTCTGCCTGCTCTGCCACCTCTTCGTCCTCGGCCTCCTCGGGCGTTCCTTCCTCCTCTGGCGCCTCCTCCGCTCGCGCCGTCGTTCGGTTCTGACCTTGGGGGCGCCTGCGGCGGCGGCAGGGGCGGGCGCGGCTCGGCCGCCGCGGCCGCCGCCCACGCCGCGGGGCTGCGCAGTTCGTCCGCGCGCGCGCCCACGCCCCTCGCGAGCACCAGGCCGCCGAACGCTTCGAGGATGAGGTCTTGCACCAGCGGCTGTTTGTAGCCCGTGCTGCTGTGCGCCACGGCCTGGACGACTGGCGCGAAAGATAAATGCTCTGGGCGTTCTCCTCCGTCTGCAGCGAGCACTGCTGGTACTTCCCCGTGCTGGGCGTCGGTGTACGCGAGCATCTGGAGGAAGGGCCCCGTTGGCACAGGTTCAGCAAGCCGCAGCGTCTCGACCGTCGGCTGCCACCAAGCCTGCGTGAGGCGGTGCTCTCTCCACTGCGCCCCTTCGCGTGGGTCCAGAAGCCCGGCAGCCGCCAGCAGCAAGGGCACGTACACCGCCGAGGTGGCGCGTGCCTGGAGGGGCGCTTGCGGCGGGGCCCAGCCGGCGAAAAGGCTGTGCTGTGGCGGCCTCGCGGCGGCCCGCTCTGGCCCTGGCGGGTGGGCTCGCGGTGGGGCGTCGGCTGCGGCGGCCTGCGGGGTGGCAGGCACTTCTCTCGTCCATGCGTCTGGTTCGCAACGACCGCACCTCCATTCGCCTTCGGCCGTGCTGGCTTCCGCGGCCCACGTGCCCAGCCCCAGGCACCTCGCGCACATCTGTTGGCCGCTCGGAGGCACGATCGCGTCGAGACCGCAGCGCGCCCCGCAACGCCGGCAAAGCCCTGACTCCAGCCACTGTGTGATCCTCCCGCTGGTGTTTCGTGCTGCGATCTCCGGGGACCATTCCACGCGGCGGTCTGGCACTTCGGAGAATTCGGGCGGCGGGCCGAGGCGTCGGCAGCAGAGCGCTCGGAGTAACGGAGGTTCGGGTGGTGGTGGTTCTTCGCCCCGCGCGTAACTCCGAAACCCATTGTATTCTGGGACGGCCTGGGCGCTGGCGCTGTGGGCTGGGGGCGGCGGTCGGTCTACGTCCACGCCCTGCGCCGCGCACCGCGCCCGTAGCTCAGCCGTGGTCGAAAGTCTGGCTCGGCACTGCGGGCAAGTTGTGGCTTCGCCCAGGTGGAGGGCCAAGTCAGCGCGGCAGCCCAAGTGGAAGTGGACGCCGCAGCCTGCCTCCTGTGCTGTTGTGTCCCTGCGTGTCCCGTCTTGCAGGATCTCCTCCTGGAACACGACGCAAGTGTTGGCCTCGCCTGGTGGCGCTGGCGGTCGTTCGGGCGCCTCCCGCTCTGCTGCCGCTCCTGCTGCCGCTGCTGCTGCCTCGCCACGAGCTCTGGCGTCTGGCTCCACCCCATGCTGTTGTTGCGGCGGCTGCGGCTGCCCCTCGGCTGGCCCGCGTTCTGCTGCTTCCCCCGCAAGGCGCAGGGCTGCTGGCGGCCGGAAGAGGCCCGAAAAGTCCCACTGCCGTCCTTCTGCCCCAGGAGGACCTGCAGGCACGGCGCCGAAAACGCTGTCGAAGTGGTTCAGCTGCGGTGGCGGTGGTGGTGGTGAGGCCGACCGCGCGCCCGCTCGCGAGTCTGGCGTGGCGAACATTTCCGGCGCCGACAGCATGTGCGGCGGCGTCTCCGCGAGCGCTGGTACCGGGGCAGACTCCCCCGATCTGCGTTCCGGCGTGCCCGGCGGCTCGTCGGCTGGCCCAGGGGGGCCTGGGTGGCTGGCTTCGCCGACCCGTTGTCCGCGGTAGCCGTAGAGCGCCTCCCGCGGACTCCTCGCCAGTGCGCGCTGCTCCTGTCGTGGTGGTGGCCGTGCTTGTGCTGGCGCTGGTGCTGGTGGCGGCGCTGCCAGTCGATGTCGCGGTGCTGGTGGTCGCTGTCTTGGCGGTGGCGATGGTGTTTGCTGCTGCTGGTCGTCGTGGTGGTGCCGCTGCAGCTGGTCGCGGTGGCGACGCTGCCGCTGGTGATGGTTGTCGTGGTGGTGGTGTTGCTGCTGACCTTGCTGCTTGTCGTCGTCGTTGTGCTGCTGCTCGCGGTGCCACTGATGGGAGTCGTGCCGCCTCTTGTGGTCGAACGTGTTGTCGCGTTGCTCCTGCGGGCTTGCTGCACAAGCCGGGGCGCCACCAGGGGCCGCAGCGGAGCCGCGCGAAACCCGATGGGGGACTGGCCCCAGGGGAGTCCTACCGTGGGAATGGGGCTCTTCCCCTGGGGGGCGCGGGCTGCAGCTGACGCCAGCCCCCTCCCTCGGAAGGGGCTGGAGGGCTGGCGGCCAGACGGCTGGAATGGCCGTCTAAGGTGGCGGGGGGCCCTGCTGGCTGCTGTCGTCCTGGCCGCTGCCGCGGTGCCTGCTGCTGCCGTTGCCGTTGCCGCTGCTGCTGCTGCCGCTGCTGCTGCTGCTGCTGCTGCTGCTGCTGCTGTTGCTGTGAAGGGGTTGCCGTCCGTGGTCGCGGTGGTTGTGTTGCTGCTGCTGCTGCCGCCGCTGCTGCTGCTGCTGCTGCTGCTGCTGCTGCTGCTGGTCGTCGTGGTGGTGCTGCTGCAGCTGGTCGCGGTGACGGCGTTGCCGCTGGTGCCCGCTGCCCTCGTGGTGGTGGCGGTGGTGGTGCTACATGTTTTCTTAAACGCACTTTTATCTAGCTTGTACCCCCCATACCTGGGCCGTCCCCTTTGCTCCCTCCCTCTCTCTCTCTCTCTCTCTCTCTCTCTCTCTCTCTCTCTCTCTCTCTCTCTCTCTCTCTCTCTCTCTCTCTCTCTCTCTCTCTCTCTCGCTCTCTCGCGCTTAAGTATCGGCTCGAAGGGTTTGAAAGAGCATCAGCAAGCTTCTTCACCCTTGCGAGCCCAGCACCGCGAGCGCGGGCGAGCGCCGCCCGAGGCAGCCATTCGGCTCCAGTGGTACTACCTGGCGGGCCTGCTGGGGTGGCAGGCTAGCGACATAGGAGAAGAGGGCCAGGCGGTCTTCAACACAGCGACCGCCGTCGACCTGAGTAAGTTCGACGCGTACTTTGACGACTCAGCTGTCGAGGACGGCAGCATCCGTGGCACCAAGGCGGGCGTGATGGCGCCCTGGGCGAAATCGAATCGCGTGTACTACAGAACGGACGGTGGGTCAGGTGTATGCATGCTTCTCATCAGTAAGGTGGGAAACGCTTCCTCGACGATATGGACTGCATGCGATCCGACCTTGAGGGTGCAGATGATCAACCTGCGAGACAAAACAAAGGTCTTCTCGAAGCCGAGCAATCAGCACACGTGGACAGAGCATCCAGTACTCACGAGCTCGGGACGCGACAAAGTGATTGCAGCCAGTGAGAAGTTGATTGCACGCAAGGAGATGGACGAGGTCGGGGCCAAGGTCAAGGGCGCCCCGAAGACAAAGGTCCCACCGAAGGGGAAGAGGAGCTCGAAGAAGGAGAACTTCCTCTGGTGGGTCCTCGGGGGGATGGTGAATGTGGGGAGCTACTTCTGGGTGAACCGCCTGGGAGGATCGGCCCTGGCGGCCATGTTCATAGGATGGCGCGTGTGGATTTGTTTCGGCCTGGGGGCGTTCTTCACGAAGGCCTACGAGACGATTGAGAGCATACACGAAGCGACGGAGCAGGCCCAATCATGGTACGAGACGGGCGTCGACATGTGGGAGACGGGCGAGATGGAGTCTATCCTGATGGGGGTCGGGGCAGTCGTGGCGGAGGGTCTACCTTGCGTGGAAGGGATGTCGGTCCTGGTCGGAGGGCTCGGAGGCGGGCAGCGCCTCGGACTCAGACGGGGAGGTGATTGCAGGGACGCAAGTCCCAGATTCCGACGACGAACCCGACGCGAGGCACCTGTTCGCCGAGCTTTCGCGAGGCCAGCAGCACCTACAACATAGCATCGCCACGCTGGCAGACGTCCTCTCCAGCACGAAGAAGGACCACCAGCCCAGCACGCTGAGGAAGAAGCTCGCTTTCGCGGACACGGAGCCCGAGCCCTCGGGAGTAGCGGCACCTTCGGCATCGGAGGTGGATCAGTTCCTAGAGAAGTTGGCGGAGCATGAGGAGGTGGTGCAGGCTGACTCGGCGAAGGCGACAAAAGGTGGTTCAACTACACCGTCGTCCCAGGCCTCCTGGGAGAGGGTGTCAAGCCCTAGTGACTCCTCAGTCAAGGAGGCGCTCGACCAGCTCATCGAGGAAGCGAAGAACCCCAAGGAGGCCCTCTTGGCGACGCTCAAGAGTTACAAGGACGTCGGCGGCGCGCGGACCGGGGGCGTGAAGGCCAGGGTCGCGCCGAGCACCTTGGCGGGACTCTACAAGCACGGTCGCTCAGCTCAGACGGAGATTGCACGGTGGCTGAAGGAGAAGGAGCTGACCAAGTGCTCGATCGCGAGCGAGGTCACCATGCTCGCGGCCGCGCTGGACAAGATGATGACGAGCGGGGAGTACGACGCGCTGATCGACTCCCAGGCGTCGGAGCTGACGTGCTTGAGGCTGTACTCGATTTTCAAGGCGTACCAGGACGTGGAAACGGAGAGCGGCTGGAAGAGGCCGAAGAACTCGAACGGGAGCAAGTGGAAGAGTAAAGCCAACTGGAGTTACGGCGAGGAGTTCTTGAAGATCAGTGATGGTTCACACGCCACCGCTGAAGCTGCAGATGACGAAGTTGCCGAACGTTTGAGGAAGAGGGCCACGATCGCCAAGCACCTGAATGCTGTCGGCGACAAGGCCCACACGGACGCATAGGTTGCGGCTGAGGGTTTCATGGCAGCCCTTAGCCACGCCAGCGCGGTAGGCGCCAGTCCGTGTAGCTTTGCATTCTTGGGGTTTCGGAGGTGCAGGTTGGCTACGAAGGGGCGGAGTGTGCTCGCCATCTACCTGTGCGTGGTGCTCATTCTGATCGGTTGGCCCTGTGCTGTGTATATCAGGTCCGATCGGTTCTGGCAGAGTGGTTTTGATCATCGGGACGATGCCGAGGTGTTTTTCGGGTCCGCAGTTCAGGGTAGACGAGAGGGAGCGGGATCCTCTTCGATGCCTGCCGTGCCCGACCTGCGGGGCCGTCTGCGACGCTCGCAACGCTTTCTGCTGGGGGGTGCCGTTCCAGGAGGCGGACGTGAAGGAGCTGAGGGTGACGTGGCGGAGGCTGGAGCGGGCCATTGCGAGCATCAGATGCTTGGCGAAGGGGCACGTGAAGGAATTCGACGAGCTGAGCCTGAAGCCCGACTTCGCCTCGCGGAGGAAGGCGACGCCGATCCAGATCTCGATTGTGAAGGAGCTGTGGCGGAGGCTCGCTCTGAGGGCGAGCTGGGGGAGCATCACCGATGGCAGGGCGGTTCTCAGCCGTCTGGGTGGTGGACTGAGCGGCTACGAGAGGACGGGGGTGAAGGAGCGACGCACGGCGGCGCTCAAGAAGGGGGACCTCTGCGACATGGTGGCGGACGAGGTGTCGGCCCCAGCCGCAGGGGCGAGGGGGCTCAAGGTGACGGACCTGTCGCCCACGGCCCTCCCCTACTTGCTGGACGCGGGGGGGCTGATGCTGAGGACGTCCGACGAGGTCGACTGGGTCAAGAACGAGTCCACATCGAGCTGCACCGACGCCGGCTGGAAGCGGGAGTCGAGCAGGCTGAAGCTGGGGCTGAAGATGTGGCAGTCGGGGATGTTGGTGTTTACCAAGGCGGTGAAGGAGAAGGTAGGCATCTTCA